CGGAGAGGCCTGTAAAGATTTGCAGCTAACATTGGGATTTTGGGGTGTTTCGGAAGCTTTATGATGACAAATAAAGGCGCTGCCTTAAGGTACAAGCATATTTGTTCACGTGATTGTTCCCTTCTTCAAGTAAGCCTTACCTCACCAATCCATTTTGATAAAGGGTGGCGTTTATTTCCTCATCTGAACTGTGTGAATGTGAAAATGTTCCTCTGCCTATTTCTTTTTATCTCCCCATGAGCTGCGAGCTTTGCAGCTCGCCTGCACTTCAGCGTTTAAACCCAAGCAGATATGCTTTTGTTTGGGTGCTCAACGTGCAAATCTAGACATCTTTAACCTCCCCCCCACAAAGGCACTGAAGTGCAATGCATGTGCGCAAAAAATGATCTGTGCATTTTATGTCACAGAAGATTTGAAATTTCCAACATTTATGAAGATTTCTTTTTCTTTGCCTCACTCCCCCTAAAGATAGAAACTAGCGGGGATTTCGCAATAAAACGAATAAAGAGGGCCTCACTCACCACATTTTGCATAATATTGAAACGTTTTAAAACGCGGTTCTGTGTAATTTACAAACAACTGCGCAATGATGTGGGAGTGCATTTTAAAAAATGATTTATGAAATAAATAACGTGTGTGTTTTTTTTCTTGCAACTGGGAACGGATTGTATTCAAATAAACCACATTATCATCTCGTGTTTGTTGTGTCTGTCTTCCCACACAGCTGAAGCACAAAGAGGCACGGAGCCAGTGTCTTCTTGCATTGTTTTCGGTACTAACCCCACACTATGCCAAATAATGGCACGCTTTAATACCAGAGAAAATATACCGAAAGGCCAGACTCTAAGATTTCGAACCACAGAGACGGTTCTCGGACCTGGTTGGTTCAGCGGTGGGTAATCTTTGCTAGAGAAGAAGAAGAAGAAGAAGAAGAAGAAGAAGAAGGGATGCCGGACTGGTAGCGTCTCAGCATATGTTCAGAGGGTAATAAAAGTGAAAGATTTACAGTTTTCGCCCGGCCCCCAACAGCCTCGCACCCTTTCAGGGATAACTGAGAATGATTTACAAGGAGGCAGAACTGTCAGCCTGGCCGAACTTCTAGGACTTCTAAGAAATCAAAATTAGATCATCCCCCCACTAACAATAAAAACAATAGAATATGATTGTGCTCTAAAGCGAAAGGGAGAGATAAATAACTAGGAATTTGTCTTATGGTTAAAAATACAACACCAAAAATCGCGATTTCTGCTTCGCAAACAAGACAAGTTAATTTTAATGCTTTCTTTAAACATATTCAATTTACTTCAGATTAAAAGAAACAAAAACAACTTCACATTAAATTAGCAAAAAATCCGAATTAGACTCTGAATAAGGAGTCTATGGGCCCAAAAGAGGGAGCAGACTAAGCTGCATGTGTCCGAAAGAGCAGTTATTCAAAGCGAGCATCCATAAATCCTACTTGTCACTGCCATTTACTTTTTTCACATTAGTCCCATCAGTCCATTTCAAGACATTTGCAAACCGCAAAACTGAAAAATTATGCTACTGCTAATATATTTTATTTATTTATTTATTTTTAAAAAAGAAGAAGGCATGCGTACAGCGACTAGCCACAGCCTATACAATTGCGCTCAGAGCGCACACATCAAAGGGAGCAATTTATCAAATATCACGACATTTGATATCGTCATTTACCAGCTGGGGCAACATGAAAAATGTTGAAATATTTACCTACCCAAGCATCCATCGGTTCAGATGTGTTGCTAAAGTGCGGGACTACAGTTGCGCCGGGAATCGGATATTATTTTCTTGGGGGATCTCTTCAGTTTTCAAGTCTGATAGAGTCCTTGCGATTAATGACGACGCCGTGTTTCTAGGGGGACGTGCTGCATTAATTATTTAGACAATCACGTGGTCGAGAATAGAGAGCGGAGTGGTATAGTCTCTGGATTATATCTCTGAATGCAGACAGCGCACTTTAATATATCTTAGGGGGGTTGTCTGGCTCGGAGAGGCTTCTTGCGAAAACAGCTGGAAATCAAATATGGCCGGATGGAGAGCAACGACGTTGTATTCCTGCACTGGGTGCAGTGTCATTGAAAATGGCACTGCCTTTGGCTCCCATTTATTGCTGTTCAGACATGTAGGTCAGTGTGGCTACACACTGCACGTTGTAGTAGGCTGCTCTGACCTGATAACTGCCAAGGAAACTATGATATTGGCATTAGTTCAATTCATGCATTATATATCAGACGCTCAAAACACCCAGGTTTTATATTAAGTAGCTAAAAATAATAATAATAAAAAAGCAACCTTTGGTTAAGTTAGAGCTTGTAATGTATTTTAGGTAGGTTCTCCCCCCTCACCCCCCTTCTAGTCGCTTCTCCCCA